TGTGTGTAGCAGCAGCGAGCCAGCGTTTTACACTGTATACATGTTACACGCGTTGGGGCGATCGATTCACCACCAGCTCGGCTTAGGGCGTCCAGTCAGCAGCAGCTCGCCTTAGGGAGCCATCGCCGCAGCCAGCAGCGAGCCAGCCGTTACACATGTATACATGTTACACCGCTCGCGGAGGTATGCACTCTCTTTGAGTGCCCTCTGTCTAGTTGCTGCCATGTTGTTAGTGTGTCATCGTCTTGTCTGTCTGTCTGTCTGCTGCCACCGTCAACATGACACGGCTAGATTTGCTAGATAACACCACACACAGCGCGCACGCACGCCGCACGACGCAGGCACGCGCACTCACGCACGCACGCACACACGCAGGCAGACACACGCACACACCACACACACACACACACACACACAACACACCACACGCGCCGCCGCGCGCGGCATTCTAGGTGTCAGTCTTACATTATCTAACTGTCATGTGTCATACATTCATCTCTTTCTCCCCGTCTTGCCTCCCCCCTTCCCTCCCCCTATCTCTCCTCTCTCTCTTCTCTCATCTCTCTCTCTCTCTCTCTCTCTCTCTCTCTCTCTCTCTCTCTCTCCCTCCCCTATCTTCTCTCTCTCTCTCTCTCTCTCCCTCCCTCCCCTATCTCTCTCTCTCTCCCTCTCTCTCCTTTCTCTCTCTCTCTCCTCTTTCTCTCTCTCTTCTTCCTCCCCCCTATCTCACTCTCTCGTCTCTCTCTCTCTCTCATCTCTCCTTCTCTCTCTCTCTCTCGTCCCCTTGTGTTTTCTTGCTCTTATATCTCCTCCTCTCTCGCTCATGGAAAGAGGAAGCCCCGAGAGAGAGATGGTGATCACGGGGGTCTGTGAAAGGGAGAGTCGGGGATGAAAGCAGGGACACAGAACAGGGAAGAGGAGGCGAGCTGATATGACATCGGGGAATGTAGGCGGGCGAGAGGAGAGAGGAGGAGAGAGAGAGGGGGAGAGGGAGGAGGGAATGCCGGGGGAGGGGTGAGGAGTTCTGGGAGTGAGGAGTTCGTATAGTGGGTTGTTCCTCTGCCCACGAGTTAACGGAGTAACGGAGTGGAGGGGAGGTAATGTAAATCGGTCTCGGGCGTTCGTGTGTGTGTGTGTCTGTGTGTGGTGTGTGTGTGTGTGTGTGTGTGTGTGTGTGTGTGTGTGTGTAGTGTTCGCGCGATCGAGTTCAGCAGCAGCTCGCCCTTATAGGTAGGGGCACACGAGCGTATTTTTCGCCGATCGCGGCGAATTTTAAATCGCTCGAAAATTCGCCCGTGTGCCGTTCACCGTCGACGCCGATTTCGTACGCCCGTATCAAACAATGTTTAGTATTTTCGCCGATTATTTACGCCGCGATTATGGCGTTATTTACGCTAGCCATTCGCTCGCTGTGCCGGTGTCCGGCGTATTGTCGGCGATCGATTTTTTTAAACCAATCGGAGGTGTTGTTGATATCATTGATGTCCGTGATCGTGTCATGTGATGTGTGTGTTCCGTCGAGTGGCGTACGGTACGCTCTCAAATTCGCTACGTGTGCCTCTTCGTGAGCGGCGTCTGAAATTCGCTGGCGATTTTTAATCGTCGCGATCGGGCGAAAAAAAATACGTCGTGTGCCCCGGCTTTAATATATGTGATAACATATATACAATTATATATTATATTACTATGCACATACATTTACTTTCTGGCGCGAGGTATGCACTCTCAGCTGTGAGTGACCTCTGTCTAGTTCGTGTTAAATATGCGCGTCTCCACTGCGTGTATGATTGTCCATGCATACCAGACTGAAGCTCTTACCCCCATCGCGATGTGCTGATTCCGTCGTTATTTGATAAAGCGAGAGAGAGAGGAAAGAGAGGGAACGGAGGAGAGAGAAGGAAAGGACCGAGAGACGACAAGAGAGAGGAGAGAGAAAAACACACACCATGTACACACGCACACGCACACACACGACACCACGCACAGTCGCACACACATATACACACACGCGGTCGCGCGCGCACCACACACGCACACACCGCGCACACACGCACACACCATACACATACGCGTGCGCGCGCACACCACACACACCACACGCGTGCGCCACACACACCACGCACACACGAGGAGGACGAGGAGATACAGAGAGGAGAGAGAGGAGGAGAGATGAGAGAGAGAGAGAGTGAGAGAGAGAGAGAGAGACAGACAGCGAAGAGATAGAGATCGAGAGAGAGAAGAGGAAGAGAGAGAGAGGAGGAGAGAGAGAGATAGAGAGAGGAGAGAGAGAGAGAAAGAGAGAGAGAAGAGAGAAGAGAGAGAGAGAGAGAGGAAAGGAGAGAGAGAGACAGAGGAAGAGGAGGAGAGAGAGAGAGAGAGAAGGAAGGAGAGAGAGAGGAGAGAGAGAGAGAGGACGAGGAGAGAGAGAGGAGGAGAGAGAGAGAGAGAGAGCAAAGACAGAGGACAGAGAGAGAGAGAGGAGAGAGAGAGAGAGAAGGGAGAGAGAGAGAGAGAGGAAGACGAGAGGAGAGAGGAGAGACGAGAGAGAGGAAGAACAGATAGAGAGATGCGCGGGAGGAGAGAGAGAGAGAGAGAGAGAGAGAGAGAGAGAGAGAGAGAGAGAGGGAGAGAGAGAGCAATAGCTACACACGTTCGTGAACTCCGCATCATTCAACTCTCGAGCGCTCTTGAAATCAGCGAGCCAGAATAATTAGATAACGAACCCCCAGTTAATTAACCAAACACTCGCAGCAAAACACTAAAACCCCACTCCCGCCAACGAACCGTACTCTCTCCCTCTCCCTCTCTCACTAACTAACAGAAATTCACTCTCTCTCTCTCTATTATATATTATACTATATATATATCTGTGTCTGTCTGTCTCTCTCTCTCTCTCTCCACTCTCGTCAACAGAATTCATTTTAAAGTTAATTTTAATAGTTTTAATTACAATTACCTCAAAATATTATTTAGAATTGAAAATACGCCAAGAAGCATATGTATTTTTATCATTTCATGGCGGCCATTTTGAAAATATGCAAATGACGGTAATTATTTAATGACATTAAATGTTAGCTTAATCGGTTCGCTCATGTCCCATAACCATTACTTACGCACTTACAATCACTCAAAAATATTATTTAGAATTGAAAATACGCCCAAGCATATGTATTTTTGGCATTTCACGGCCAGCCATTTTAGAAAATATGCAAATGAGAAACCATCCTTATCTATTTAAATATTACCTTAATTTTCTCGTGTCTAAAAACCACAGTCGAGTAAATAAAAGTCACTAAAAATGGTAATTAGAAGTGTTGATATGTCGTAAGAAATGTAGGCCCTATTTTGAAAGTTCATGGCGGGCATTTTGAAAATTCGATGCCACGCCCACTTTAAAGGCCGATTTCGTTGGGCGTCCACCTCTAATTCGGTTTAAGCACCTATCAAAGTACATGTTGTGCCAAATTTCGGTGCTTTTATCAAAAAGTGAACACTTTACTCCTCTTTTTGGGAGCTTAGAACCCCTACTATAATAGGAAGAAGACATATTGCATGTAAGGTGCCCGCTGCATATACCAGTCAGTACTAAATCTGGCTACCTTACTCTGTTAGCGCCGATGCGCAATATCTCACCATAGAAGTTATATTTTGTTATGAATATGCATTTAAAATGGTTAGGGGGTATCTCAGCCTAGAATCCTGTAATAACATTTTATCAGCACACCTGTGTTTATAATTAGTAGAGCGCCCTAACATATACCAGTCAGTACTAAATCGGGCTACCTTAGTCTGCTAGCGCATGCGCAACATATCACCATAGAAGTTATATTTTGTTATGAATATGCATTTAATATGGTTAGGGGGTATCTCAGCCTAGATTTCTGTAATAATATTTTATCGGAACTCTAATTTTATCCCCCGTCCTTCCCATTGCCTCTCCTGTCCCTCTCTCAGCCTATCTATCAATCTATCAGATCAGAGTGCTATGAATATTTTTTACAAAAGGAAATTATAAATAAGTTTTCAGTAATCAAGAATTATAAACCTACAAATTCTAGTAATACAGTAAAACTTGCATATGTCGACACTTTTGGGACCAGCACATTTGTGCCGACTTACGAAAATGACACCATACGCGAAAAGTCGTCATTTGTCGACTTATATGTAGGGCTCCTCCAGGCACCCGTGACCCTACGCAGTCATAAGCATGCTCCACACACGTCATCAGTTCGCGCCACATACATATAATAGCAGACATGAAACAATCGAGTCCGTACATCAAACGACACCGCTGATTGTGCGCACTAGCGGCAAGCGCGTCACACGCTGGCTATCTGCAACACCCGCTGTTGATTACACGTTCGGACATTGCAGGACATTTGCGGTGCACGTTGTGATGTATTCACATCGATTTATTGTGAAATAAACGCAAGCTATAAGAAACACAACGGACAATGCGTCGCATTCATTACTCTGCGTCCTTTCCAGGGTGAACATTCTGCACGTTGGCGCCATCTAGTGAGGGCAATATTGATATAATCAAACAATACATACACACGTCTGCCAAATTTTTCTTGAAACACTTGTTGAAAAAATACGGTAATTCTGCGAGGCCGTGCTCTGGAACAAACTGTAGTAAGTGCATATCTGCGACAGCCAGCTCACACATCCCCTAGACCGTACACTGCGCGCGCGCCATTGGCATTTCTGATGACAACTTACAGATGGGAAATTACTGTTGTTTGTATTACATGAAACCTGTCTGAGGGTGAAGACTTGTATATAATGACGACTTAAAAATGACGACCTAGGCAGGGCTATTCCAATGGATTCACTATGAGAGAAATCAGGACTTTGACTTCCATGACGACTTATGCGAATTGACGAGTTAGACGATGACGACTTATGCGAGTTTTACTGTATATAGAAACTACAAAAGATTGCTTGTCATCAAGTAATCGCGTCGATTGTTATACGAATGAATAATAAACGATGCAGCGGCAGTATTAGAAGATTTGAAATTTTATTGTCTGAGCCTCAATATATTTCCTACAGGATAAATAAAAACTGCATGAGGTATAAGTTACCCTCACCAGAGTATCAGTGATAACAGAATAATTGATTCTTGCTCACAATCGCATCATAACCTTCTGTATTCTCATACGTCCTCTGTCATCCACCATGAAGACATTCATATTCCGTGACAAAACCCCAAGGGATCATTGCGTACTTATATGAAGATCAAAGCCTTCAGACATGTGAACTGTGGGTTTCCCATTTGAGAACACACTATTACTACAAACTTTTCTGGTGAAGACAACTTGCAGGAAACATTAAAAGTAACAGGTGTGACGATTCCACTATAACATCAATATACCAACAAGTACTTATACATGCCAGAAGAGCAGGTAATAGTCATCCTTGGAAATGGCCGATATTGTTTCCACCTTCATAACATTAACAGTAAATATTCCTTGCGAACCACAGACCTCTTCATCTGTATGAATTTAATATTAGTCACCGTCAGTCTGCTGGTTTCATGAATTTCGGTTTCTTCTTGAGGTTTTGCCGGCGTGACTGAGATATAGTTTTTTCTACTGTTGCCACTTGTGACTCTGGCTCAGCGTCTGCAAGCCCGTCACTGTCTTCATCTGACCCAGTATCCTCGTCTGTGGCTCGCGCTCGTTTCTTAAGAAACTTCTGCGCTATCGTCCCAACGAGCGAAGTATACCTAAAACAGATACAAATGCACTTAGCTTTCTGAACAAATGCAGTAATGGTCACGTTTTATTATATCCGTCACGACGAAGTCGGCAGGGGGGGGATACTATGGTTTCATGTCTGTCCAGCCGCCGCTCGCCGCTGCCACCGCCGCCGCAGACACTTTCCCTTCCGCTCTATAACTCGACTCTTAATTGACCTAGCGCGACCAAACTCGGTATACTTACACATCTTGGGGAGAAGGTGCGTTGCGTACCAAAACCAAGTGACTGCGACCTTTATTTGACTTTGACCTTGATCATATTTCTCTTCCGCTCTATAACTTGGCCCCTAATTAACCTAGCGCGACTAAACTTGGTATACTTACACATCTTGGGGAGAAGGTGTGTCGCGTACCAAAACCAGGTCACTGCAAATTTTATTTGACCTTGACCTTGATCATATTTCTCTTCTGCTCTATAACTCGGCCCCTAATTAACATAGCGCGACCAAACTTGGTATACTTACACATCTTGGGGAGAAGGTGTGTTGCGTGCCAAAACCAGGTCACTGCAAACTTTATTTAACCTTGACCTTGATCATATTTCCTTACTGCTCTATAACTTAGGCCCTAATTGACCTAGGGGAGAAGGTGTGTCGCGTACCAAAACTAGGTCACTGCGACCTTTATTTGACCTTGACCTTGAAATTGGTCATATTTCTCTTCCGCTCTATAACTCGACCCCTAATTGACCTAGCGCAACCAGACATGGTATACTTACACGTATAAGAGAGAAAGTGCGCATTCGCACCTGTCTTTGGCCTTTACTCTGCACTTGAAGATAATCTCTCCGACTTTTAGTTTAACACTAATCAACATAGCGGATTTGTGCAAAAAAATTCCTTACGGAGATATTTCATTCATACTAGATCGTGGGGAATACATGCAGTTGGCGACAACTGCCATTTCTAGTTTAATATAGCGTTGTCCGCCGGCTTGCGGGTTCCTACCTGGCACATACAGCAAAATACGGCACATGTGCGAGAACGTTTTCTGTTCCCAACGGTGCGGTGCGCAACAATCGGAAACTGCTTTCTGCCAAGTATTTACACTGCACATTACACTTACCTCCCCAAAGGAAGTTCCAGAATGGCCAGCGCGGCAATGGTGGTTAAGCAACGACAACAGTTGAAAGACATTACACAGACAGACAACACGACAAATATAGGTGCCATGTGCCTGGGGTGTATACTTAAAATTATACGTATAGAGTTAATGTAACTATAATGTAATTGTTAATGCCAGTGAAATAGGCATTAGTAGATGTGGCTGGATTACTTCAATTCAACTCTTGCAGCTTATTTTTCTCTCTCTGGAGTGTGCTGCCAAATACACAACCTTTATCCTGCATGTTAACATCACACAACAATCCTCCAGCTGCCACCTATATAGGCATTATTTTAATGATACTGACACCCCCACTCCCTCTATATGGCTACACATAAGATGTTCCAGTGATGTTAACAAATGCCTGTTATTTGTGAGTGATTAAAAACCCCCCATATCATAAAATAATTACTCTATATTACATAATATTACATTCAAATATTTATAAAATGCATTTATAAGCACCAGGCACTTCTGTGCTCCATTGTGTATTATATTGCCAGGAGGGAGCTCGTCGTGCTTGCATGGTGCCACCGCCACACAGTTATCCCCCAAAATGTAACATCAAATGTAGCACATCACCATCTTACTCCAAACAATATGGACAAAAGTGTCAGCAAAGTGTCAGTGTCACATACTTCTGAGCAAGGTGTTAACGTCACATATATAGCTTTTAACATTGTGTCAATATTATATAGCAGTGTCACTTACACTGCATTTCATGGCTTATAGCATAGATTTTTGTCTTAGAAAATTTCACCAAAAACCACATTGCGTCCTATAATCTGAAAGTTGGTGTAGAGGTCATTATTATAGCCAAGATATTCCAGATGTGGTACAGTCAATTATACACCCCCATAGCAAGAGCCTACTGTATATACTAATGAATACTGATAGAGAGGCTTTATGAAATACAAGTAACTCAGATAAAAATGGGTGTGGCCTTCTCTGATGTGAGCATATACATGGTAGAGGGAAGAACTATTATTCATTTTTTTTTAGATTCCCTTCTAAATTTGATGTGCCTCTAATGCACTGGACCATCTTATGAGCAGCGAAATACGATACATGAGGTTGTAGCAAGCTATAGTCACATACCTTCGAGTCATTTCCTTGTCAGAAACAGCGCTCAATTCTTCTCTGGCCTCTGAGGCACTTAGCTGGTCCTCATTATCAAGTTTCAACATTAGCCTCTGTAATAGGCAGACAAATCTCATTCAGATAATGAAAGAACAATAATGTCTATGAAATAAAACGAATTAAATCTCAATCGCGCTGATTCTCAAAATTATTCTTATTTAATATTTATTCATTGTTGATAAATGTGAAATGCACATGCAGTCTACTAAATTGATGAAAGTTTTCAATTTCTCATGAACTAAACACTTCAAATAACTATAAAATGCTTAGAACTGCTGTAACAACAAGGCAAGGAAAAATAATCCATATATATAGATATATATATATCATGGGTCGAAATTGTAAGAGGCCCGCAGGCCTGATGCCCGTATTTTAAGGCTCGGGCCTGACATTTCTAATACTAGCAAGCCTGAGGGGCCCGTAGAAAATCCACCCCAGCATGCAAAACCGTCCCCGGCATGCCAGCGAGGATGACAAGTTACTGCAGTATCGCACACTTGTGTCAAGATGTGCACAACAGCGAGCCGAGTCCTGAGTGTAGTCTCCGCTTTGAAGCATGGCGATTCTAATCGTTACCAGCGGTCATCTGCACTAATGAGGGGGTCCAAATAATTCATTTCCTGCCACATTTACATCAAAATCACCCTGGCTTTTCCTATCATATCTTAGGTAAATAAATACTGAGAGTGAGACAGCACGAAAATTTGCCCCGTTTTCTATTTGCAATGTGGGCCCGATATAGGCTTCATTCATCAGGCCAATGTACATTCAGGCCTAATTCCTAATCAATTTCACCTTTTGATTAGAAAAGTGCTTATTTTGCTTCTAATTTGTACAGAAAGAAAATAATAATATTTTGATTACATTTTGTGTAAATGTGATAGATTTCAATGTATCAGTGTTTCTTCTACATAGGAGGCACTGCGGCACACAGCCGTTCTCAAATTTAACAATGCCGTTGTGAAAATGTTCCTGCATTTTCCCCCCCCCCCCCCGTTGTCAAAATAG